CCATACTGTTTGTCTGTGTCATAGTTTTTTTTCCTCTTAATCCCCTCACCCAGCTGCCAGCCTCCTCCCCTCTGACAGCTGTTAGTCTGTTCTCTGTATCTATGAGTCTTTCTATTTTGTTTATTTTGTTCATTAGATTCCACATGTAAGTGAAATCATATGGTACTTTTCTTGTTCTGACCGGCTTATTTCACTTAGCATAATACTCTCCAGGTCCATCCATGCTGTCACAAAAAGTAAGATTCCCTTCTTTTTCATGGCCAAGTAGTACTCTATTGTGTAAATATACCACAGCTTTTTATCCCCTCAGCTACTCATGGGCACTTGGGCTGCTTCCAGATATTGGATATTATAGATCATGCTGCAATGAGCATAGAGGTACATATGTTCTTTTGAATCAAGTGTTTGTGGTTTCTTTGAATATAGTCCCAGGAGTAGAATCACTGGGTCATTTTTTGAGGAAACTACATACTGCTTTCCACAGTGGCTGCACCAGTCTGCATTCTCATCAGCAGTGCATGAGGGTTCCCTTTTCTCTGCATCCTCACCAACATTTGTTTGTCTATGATAGCCATTCTGACAGGTGTGAGCTAATATGTCCTTGTGGTTTTAATTTGCGTTTTTCTGATGATTAGTTATGTTGAGCATTTTTTTCATGTCTGTTGGCTCTCTGTATGTTCTATTTGGAGAAGTCTGTTCAGGTCCTTAACCCATTTTTTAATTAGATTGTTTGCTTTTTTGGTGTTGAGTTTTATAAGTTCTTTGTAAATTTTGAATATTAACTGAAAGGTTTTCTTCGGCTCTGCCGAGGAATAAATGCCAATCAGCCACAAAGTCAGGCAGTATAAAGCTTTTTATTAGAGTTTGTGCTTCCGGGCGAGGTTCTCTGGTCCAGAGAAAGGGGGCCAGAGAAGTTGCCCCGAGCAGGGAAAATGGCGGGGTTTTATTTTGGGTTGGCTCTCCGTGGGAGCTGGAGATTAGTCCCTTGTGAACAAAGCGGCATCATATCATTGGTGGTTCCCCTTGCGCCCTGGTTTGACGGCAGCCATCTCTTCTGGGTTGTAGTTCAGCCACCATGATTGATTGTAGTCCAGCCACCATTTTGTCCTACCCCGCCCATCCTGACATTAACCCCTTATCAGATGTATCAGTGGCAAATGTGTTTGCCCATAGAACCATTCCTTATGTATTATTTGCAACTTACATGTTTCTGTTTTTGTTGTTGTTCACCATTGTTTCTGAGATTTGTCCAAGTTGCTTCCTGTAGACTCAGTGATTTTTATCATGGTGTAGAGTGACTTTGCCACAGAGACTCCTTGTGCAAGCACATAGAAGTTTTCCTACTGTAAATACCTGCAAGTAGAATTGATGGATCTAATGGGTGGATATGGCATTTTCATATCATCAGGTTTTTGCCAAATTGCTCTCCAAAGTAGTTTTAGCAGTTGATACTTTTACCTGTAGAGTAAGGTTTTTTTGGCTGCATATTTTCCAGCAATAGTTGGTTTTATCAGACTTCTTACTTGCTAACCTGATGGCAGTGATATCACTAAATGTTGCTCAAATTACTAGTGATACTGGGTAGTTTTGAAACAATATTGGATTGGCCAAAAGGTTCATTTGTTTTTTTTCTGTAAGATGGTTCTAGTAACACTTAGCTGTCTTTAACTTCTTTCAAAACAATTTTGTTAGATTATATTGTGACAGCTGTTATGTCAGTGTGCATTAAAAAAATCTTACCAAAATTGGTGAATTTTTGTGTAGTCATTTTAATATGGAAGAAAACATGCAACATTTTTGGCATACATATTGTGCTTTATTATTTCAAAACAGGTAAAAAATGCAATTGAAACACAAAAAAGTGATTTGTGCAGTGTATGGAGAAGGTGCTGTGACTGATCGAATGTGTCAAAAGTGGTTTTCAAAGTTTCATGCTGGAGATTTTTTGCTGGATGATGCACGGTTGGTCAGGTGGACCAGTTGAAGTTGATAGTGATCAAATTGAGACATTAACTGAGAACAATCAACATTATACCACATGGGAGATAGTTGACATATGCAGAATAGCCAAATCAGTAAAGTTACTGGTGAAAATGAATAACATTTTACCAAAAAAACCATATAGACATTCTGGCCAACCCAATATTTATTGACTGTTAAAGTATTTCCTGTGATTTACCTGCCCACTTTTTAGTTCCATATTTGTATTATGGATACCCTTTCACTTTGCTTGTTTGTATTCTTAACTCTTCATGCCACGCCACCTACCCCTTATCTACCCAGTCGTCCATGTAGACATCTTCTGTACTTACCCCTTATATTGTAGTATGACACACTCACTGGTCCATTACCACCTGTGCATGCTCTTTTCACTCCATTCAGTCTCTGCTTCTCCATGCTGAGTCATCCCTCTCTGCGGATAGCCATGGCCACCTCACTTGGCCTCTGAACCTCTTGTGGATTGCCAACATATGTTATGTCCACTTTGTCCTGGATGGGTTCTGATTACCATGCCTCCTGTGCCCCTCCCCCCATCCACACAGTGAGCTGACCCTTTGTGGGATTGTCTTTCTCATCTCACCCAGGCTCTGAAATCCAAGATGGGGGTTAAATTTTCTGTACTCTACCCTCTTTACTCTGTTTAGGCTCTGACTTTCTGTTATGGGACACTTTGATTTTTCATCTACCATGACTGGGGGGGATGCCCACCTTGCTCTGCAATACTTAGTTGCTTTAGTTTTGACTTGACCAGGATGGGGAATGGGTGTGTTTAATTTTCTTGACACTCAAAAATGTTATTACAGTTTTATTAAGGAAATAAGAAAAATACAGCTCTAACAAAATATTATATATGAAAGATAAGTATATTGCTGTTGTGAAAGTTAACAAGAATTTGAGGTGTATAAAGATTTACCTATGAATTAGAAATAAAACTGTTAATTAAAAATATATATTATAAAGTAGAAGACATTGGTGAGAGCTCCTGGGGGTTATATAGCCTAATGAGAGCAATGTAGGAAAGACTTTCTGGAAAAAGTGACTCCCAGAAGTCTTAAAGGTGGCTTCATCTGGAAAGGTGGTGCCTGGAGAAGGAAGAGGTGTGAGGGAAAAGTAGGAGAAGGCATACAGGCAGGGGAGGAAACAATGAGAGTATAGACGTGGAGGGAGGAAACAGCACCATATATTCAAGAAACTGAGAATACTGATGAGGGTAGCATATAAATTGTATGACCATGGAGACTAGGGAGCAGAGGTAGAGAGGAGGGAAAGGATCATCCAAGCAGAGGGAGCAAGCTGAATAAATATGGTAATGCAGAAGCACTTTGAGCTGTCGATAGTAGGTCACACTGGAATGGAGAGTGTATTGGTACAAATGGTAAAGCTGGAAAAGATAGATTGGAGCCTGATTATGGAGACACTGTACACACACACGTAAGTGTGTACACTTGTATGTGTTTTTAGTGTGGGAGTGATTTCAAACCAATGATTTCTCAGAAGTGCTGTAACATATTGCACTCCTCTGAGGATTTAATAATATATTATCAACTACTTAGTTGTCATATGTTAGTGTTTTGGCTGTCTAAACTCGAACCTTGTATACGGTAGTACCCAAATTCTCTATATAGAAATTTTTAGCACATTCCTGTACACTTAGATGAGCAGTTTTCAACTGGTGTGCCGAAAGAATGTTTAAGACATGCAATACCTGATTATTTAGTCAGGCACACTGACCTCTTTTCCCTTAGCTTGTGGTACAGCCAACAACACAATAGCCTTCCCATCTGAATGACTTGAAATTATACCTATTTTTTTGTCAGATCAGCAAAAAATAGATTTTCTAGTGTGCTGCAGAATTTCATTAATTAGTTTATATAGGCCATGAGATGAAAAAGGTTGAAAATTGCTGACTTAGACTATCAAGTACTTTTTGTGGTTTGATAAAATTTTATTAACATCTTTTTAACCTCTTAAGCTAATCAGGTAAGATGTTATCGTTGTGTCTTTACTCTTCAAGCCCTAGTACCAAATAGAGATCAGTTATAAAATTAATAATAGAGCCACAAAACAAAAAATGTATTTTAAATTTTGAGATATTCAGGGAGAAGTACTTCACGAAGATTTTACTCATCTTTCCAGCCTTAGTGGATCCCTTTAGTTAGTTCTTTTACCAGTGAACATTTTTACCTTTAAGAATGCTTAACAACCCTAACTTTTTCAGTAGAACATAGACATCATTGGAGCTTGCTTTTTCTTAAGGTTTCTGAAAGGTGGTGCCCAGATCTACCTGCATCAGAGTCATCTAGAGTGTTTATTTAATTGCAGGATTTTTCATGCCCTTTTTCCTGAACTATTTCCTCATTTTGTTCTTTTGCTAGATTGCTTTTTTCTATATATCATCATGCTTGAAATCCTTCCTGTTACTTAAAGCTATCTGGGCTATCTGGTAATTACCGGTAGTTGCAGGCAGGGCAGTGTCAGTGTAGTGGTTTGGAACCTAGGCCTTGGATAATTACTACCAACATTGGAATCTCAGTTCTGTCACTTTTCCAAGATTACAGTGCTAGTTACTTAAAAATATTTCTGTGACTCAGTGTCTTTATGAATAAAACAGGGATAACAATTTATATCATAGGGCTGTAAAATGTATTAAATGAATGAATATTTATAAACTTCTTACAGTAGTGCTTGTACATAGAAAGCACTCCAACATTAGATGCTGTTGTGACTTTCCCCCCTTTTCAGCTCTTAACAAAGTTTTGTACTATGGTAACTTGTATACTTATCTTACCTCTTTCTGTTCAGGTTGCAAATTCTTTGAGGATAGGACCTAACTTACTAATTTTTATAGCTTGTCAAAAGATTTTACGTAAGTGATAAATATTTACCATATAAAAATCATGGGAAAATGGCAAAATTATCAGTAGGATTGTTTTTCAGAGCTCATTTGCTTAATATAAATTATAATCTAAAGTATTAATACTCTCTGTATTATGTTTCAGGAATTCTAATGAATCATTGATTGACCAGCACCATTTTACCAATTGGAATGAGTTATCAGAAATGGGAATAGATTCAACATGTAACAGATTGGCTCTTACTCCATGGTGATTACTTCTTCAAGCCAACACTTTTTTTAATTCCATAGGATTTTTGTCTCTTCATCTTTGAATTCCAGTTCCTATAGGCAAATAAAATAAAAGGAGTTCATGTAGTTTTTGCTCAAGCTTGAGTAACCATGAGTAGTAGCTTAGGAAAAGAAAAAGACTCTAAAGAGAAAGATCCCAAAGTACCATCAGCCAAGGAAAGAGAAAAGGAGGCAAAAGCCTCTGGAGGTTTTGGGAAAGAAGGCAAAGAAAAAGAACCTAAGACCAAAGGGAAAGATGCCAAAGATGGAAAGAAGGACTCCAGTGCTGCCCAACCAGGGGTGGCTTTTTCAGTTGACAATACGATCAAACGGCCAAATCCAGCACCTGGAACTAGAAAAAAATCTAGCAATGCAGAGGTAATTAAAGAGCTCAATAAATGTCGGGAAGAGAACTCAATGCGTTTGGACTTATCCAAGAGGTCTATACACATATTACCATCATCAATCAAAGAGTTGACTCAATTAACAGAACTTTATTTATATAGCAACAAATTGCAGTCCCTCCCCGCAGAAGTGGGCTGCCTAGTAAATCTCATGACACTGGCTCTGAGTGAAAATTCACTTACCAGTTTGCCTGACTCTCTTGATAACTTGAAGAAGCTACGGATGCTTGATTTACGGCATAATAAACTGAGAGAAATTCCTTCAGTGGTGTATAGGCTAGATTCTCTCACCACTCTCTACCTTCGCTTTAACCGTATAACTACTGTGGAAAAGGACATCAAAAACCTGTCAAAACTCAGCATGCTTAGCATTCGAGAGAACAAAATCAAACAACTACCTGCTGAAATTGGTAAGGGGCCTTGGTTTACCATTATTATTTTTAGTATTTGTTATGCTAAAGAATTTAATTGAGTGCTCTTCCATATCAGAATATATCTGATACTTTCCTAAAACCAGCCGGTTTACTTTAATTATTCAGTTTTAGCCATATTAATAGTACATGGTTTGAGATTTGAGGTCTTCCATAGACTTAAGAAAATGAGTGAGAATATAGATGTGATTTGACCTTTTTCACACAAACCTAGTCTGATTTCATTTTCATTGAAGAAAAAGGGAGTTTGAAGCAGGAAAAAGATGTTTGCCTAATTAAGTTGTTGCCACCAATTTTTAAGATATTTACACATGCAATTTTAGTGCACCCATTAAGACTATATTTTCTCATTTTCTGACTTCTTTACCTGAAAACTGTTTAAATTCACATCACTTTTCTACCAAGGTTACTACAAAAGATTGGCCTAACAGAGCCTTGTTAAAAAGCAGTGTTGTAGAAAATTAAAGAGGTGTTTTTTTTTTTTCATTTCGATAGTACTCATGTACATTAAAAATAATCCATGAACACAGAAAAGTCAGAAAAGTAGGCAAAAAGTCAGGTGTCCTAAATGCAACAATGTTAGCATCTTAGTAGATTTCATTCCAGTTTTTGTATATAAAGCTAAATTGTACAGAAATGAAGGAATGTTTTTAAAAGAATGGTAGTAGGAGAAAAATAAGTAATGTATATGTGTAATTAGGTCAGTACAAAGAAATGTGTTGTCTTGATATTTTTAATTATGGAGAAAAATTAGAAACATTTAGAATATAATAAGCCATCCACTTACCAATTGTGGGAAATTGATAAAGGTATTAGTGGGCCCTTTTTATTAATTTTTAAAAATTGACATAAAATTGATTTTCCAACTTTTTAAGGAAACTTTTCTTTTTGTGTGAAAGGCCAGTTTATTCTGAATAATACAGGTGAATTAAATATTTTGTTGCTTTGAGCATTGGTCTTATAGTGGGTAATAAAGGAAACTCTCTTTTTAGGCTCAGATTTGTAGAGATATGATATTCTGTGGGTATTTAAAACATTTTATCTAGTTTTGAAAAAGATCTGGTTTAAGTTTTAGGTATGTTTGTCTCTTACCTTTAAAATCTTAGTTTAATTTTGATTTATTTAAATGCACTTAGACAAATCATGATAGATTTTCTCAAGCAGTGCTCTGTACTTATAAAGTATGACTCACTTATGAGATATTAAAATATTCCCAGGAATTTGAATAGAAATGTTCCTTTCCACGTGTTCAGATAAGGGATGTGGTTGTTGAAAGACTTGATTTTATACCAGATTCAGTCAAAATTTCACCTGTGTGTATGGCTTATTGTGGGATAGAATTATAGGCTGTTGAAGAAAGAAATGCTGACTTTTTATATAGAAATAAAAAATGTTATTTCCTATCTTTGTTCTTGTTTTGTGTATGTATTATATATTCCATTCTAAGACTTCGGCTTTAATTCATTTGAAGTCTCTTTTTAAGTATTTTTTTCCATAGTGATGTTATCAAATTACATGGTAATTAAGAAGGCACATTTCTTAAGCAAGGAATTATTTCATGGGATTTTAAACTTCTTTTGTTCTTGAGCATATAGATATTTAAGCATTTTTACTAAAAAGTCAATGTATTTTTTAAACTGACAAATTTTATTTAATTAAATGATTGATATTTGTGGCTCCCTATTTTTGACTCTTATTCCTAAAGTTGTTATTTAAAAAATAACCATAGAATTTGGTTTTTAATGAGCACTAGTGACATTATTAAAGGTTATGTTGTAACTTCTGTATTTCTGTAAAACTACTAGCATCATAAATGTTATTTATTTTTTTCAAGAAGGGCATCAGGTAGAAAGTACAGTGCTTTTTAAACATAAAACTTAATATTTCATATAAGGAGTTAAGATTTATATGGTTTAACTGAGATGCATGAATTTGGGGCAGACATCGCTAAAGTTTGCATTATCTGTTTCCTTGTAGGGTAACGAGAAAATAAAGGTTCAGTAAAAATAATATAATTGTAGTAATAATAATGGCTGTTATTTTAGCATAATATGTCATATACCATTCACAGTTCTGTACATATATACTTTACATATATTATCTTACAAAATTGTTACAGTAACCCAAGGAAATGGGTGTGTCTCTTGTGCTGCACCCCCTCCCACCCCCCATTGCACTGAAGAAGGAACTGAAAATGTAGAGAGATTAGATAATTTACTGAAGATCTTGCAGCTGGGAAGTTAGTTGGCAGTAAGAATGCAAACCTAGGTCTCACTGTATTGCCCCCACTAGTCTAGAAAAGTGGACCCCATTCCCATAGATTATGATTTAGTGGTCCGGAAGGTCCAGGGAATCTGTACTTTTAAAGAATAAGTTGAGTTATTCTGCGTGTAGCTGCAGTTGAAAGCCATTGCATTAGTTTTGTTTTGTTTTTTTTTGTTTTGTTTTTTGTTTTTGAGGTGGGAAGGATGGAAGCAGCTTGAGATATAAATCATACACCATTCAAGTCACAGACTTGATGTGTACAGTCCAATGGTTTTTTAGCATGTTCACAGAGCTGTACGACCATCCCAAACAATTTTGGAACATTTTCATCACACCAAGAATCTGTTTTAGTAGTTACCCACTCCTATTTTCTCCCAACCTTCTAGCCCTAGGCAAACACTAATCTACTTTTCATTTCTATAGATTTTACTATTCCGGACATTTCATATAAATGAAATCGTAGAAAATATGGTCTTGGTGATTGCCTTCTTTCACTTAGTATAATGTTTTCAAAATTTATCCAGGTTGTAGCATGTATCAGTACTTCATTTCCTTTCATTGTTAAATATATTCCATAGCATGGATATACCTCATTTTATTTATCCATTCATTGTGTTGAACATTTGTGTTGTTTCCACTTGCTAGCTATTATGAATAAAATTACTATCAACATTTTTTGAACATTTTGCATGTTTTTCTTGGGACATTTATTTTTATTTCTCTTGGGTATGTACCTAGAAGTGGAATTATTGAGTCATATGGTAATTTTATGTTTAACATTTTGAGGAACTGCAAGAATGTTTTCCTAAGTGGCTTCACCATTTTACATTCCCAGCAGCAGTGTGTGAGGGCTCCAGCTTTTCTACATCCTCAACATCCTTGTTTTCTGTCTTTTTTATTATAGCCATTCCATGACTGTGGTTTTGATTGCAGTTCCCTTATGACTATAGACTTGTTTTAAAATCTTGAAAGTGATCTTTTATTATGAAGGACAGAGTTATTTTCTGTGATGCATATCTTCCTTTACTACTTTTGAAAGAAAATGAATAAAGCCAGCTCCTTTGAGCATATTTTCAAAATAAGACCCAGGCACAAAGATCAAGTAAAATGGAAATTTGACATTTTTTAAAAGTGTTACACACCTTTAATATAATTTGCTGAAACTCATAAGAGAATTTAGAATCCAAAATTTATGCAAATTATCATTTGGTTTTATAAGTATGCCACTTTCAATTATGCCATCCAGTTTGTGTTTGGCAGTGTATTTGAGGAATGTGAGAAATTAGAAGATTTTGAAATACAGCGACTATTTAGTTTAAATGATATATTTGGAATTTAACCATTACACAAGGTTGTACTGTGCTGCTGCCTTATAGGGAAATTATATTAAAATTAGAACATTTATCTGTTTTAACATTAGTGGCATCTTTATTAATGCCATGTGATTTGATACCAGTGATAAATTTTCACGTGGGTGAAAGTTGGCAGAAAATAAATATAAAAGGATACTGAACAGAGAATACATGTCAGCATATGAAGAGCCGGAGATAATATATCAGAGTAGCCAATAAAACTCTGCACTTGGTAATGTTCGTTTATTTTTGTTCTTATACAAAGGCATGTAGATAGATGGAAATCTTAATTATTACTTATTTTTATGGATCCATATTCTGTTCTTTCTTCCCATACCTTTCACCAGTTGCTTCCTTGAAAGAGACTCTTCACATACACCAAGAGTCAAGAAATCATGTTTTCAGAAGGAAGACAGTAAATAACCATCCCCTATCCCTCAAATTGTCCTTTGAGTTTCATATTAGAGATGAGCTCTCGTAAATTTTCTTTTTCTGCCTGGATGGATTAGATTGAGGGCCATCAGGTACTCAGTGTAAATAATGATCAATTTAGTTTAAGGAAATTATGGACAAGGAAGTTTTAAAGAATTTCTAGGAAGGAAATGGTTACTCTTTCAGATCAGAAATAAACTTCATCACTGTCTCTTACTAATATTCCTACAGTTTATTTTCTTTCACTGAATTATGACCTATTTCAGGATTTCTTTTTCTTAAAAACTTCCCCCTAATATATTATTCTTTCTAAGACAGCTAGGTTAGAGGGACCTAGCGCCTACCGCTAATTGTTTTAGTGTAACAATTTCATGTGAATTTGTCAAAATAAGCCTTTTTACTTAGGAGAATAATCTGGTATGTTAAAAGCATACGCTTTTTGAGAACTCATCATTTTTGTGTATTTAAAAAACAATCCACAGCATTCAGGTACATGAGAAAGTAAAATCAGTACATTTTTTTTTTTACACATTTGACTCTAACATTTGTTGAAATAAAAATCTATTGTTATACCGCAGTGTTACATTTTATAAGTCAAGTTAGATATATAATCAATACATAATAAATATATAAATAATATCTACAAAAATACAAAGAACAGAATCAGCAATTTTTAAAAAGTTTAAGGATCTCAGAGATTTTCTAACACCCAATTTTGTAATTTTCTATGAACTATAGTAGAGAATAAATAATAGATTTTCAATAAATGTGGCTTGAAGTGAATTTAATGATGCCTAGCACTATTACCTATTTTTCAGTATTAACTCAAATTGTAACCCTAGTCCCTAAAATTTTTGAAACTCTCCCAGAACTTCCAGGGGTAATACAGTTGCTTTCATGATCCAGTCAACATTATTTAATTATCTCATT